CTGCCAGATGACATTGTGCATCCGAGACCAGACTTGAGGTCACGGGCAGAAGAATTGCTCTTGCAGGCCTGAGGGCCTTGTGCAAGTGCCTACACATCTGTCTGCCACACACGCTTCTTTGGTGCACAAGCCCCCAGGCAGAGGGGCACGTGAAACTGTGCAGGGCACATTCTGCCTGTAGAAAGCAAATGAATGGTTTTACCAGGTTCATGCAGTCGCTATGTGTTTTGGCCTGTCTGGAGTCAGGAGTTGTTTCAGAACAAGTGTACTTTTTTTTTTTTTTTTTTTTTTTCCTGCCTAAACTGTAAATTCCATATCAGGTACTAACAAACATGGCTCATCTCAAAAGAATTCATAATTAACTAAAAGAATTCATAATTAACTTCCACTGCAATTTGTTTGGGTCTTTCTTTACATAAGATATAAGCTCTGGTGGGAAATTAAAATGCTCTGAAGCATACACTGTGTTCTGTGTAACCGCTGCTGAGCCTACAGAAAAACTAACCTGCTGTAACTGCACAGTGTGTGTGTATGTATATTAGAGATCTCTGACAGACCTGTTTTTCTTTTTCTCTTTCTCTTCCTTGTCTTCTTTCTGCATTGGCAGAGCATCTTGGATTTGAATTAAAGGGTATGGAACAACCATTCATTTATTAATCAGAAGCCATTAAGAGCTGCCCATATTATATTTATGGCTTTAATGGGATGATTAAAAAATCAGCTGTTCTGTTCGTTTCCCTGGCGCCAAGATAGATGTTTGGATTAAAAAAAAAAAAAAAAAAAAAAAAAAAAAAAGTAAAGCTCAAAGTCTAAATGTAAAACTATAAAAATGCACGTGTATTTTTAGCAGCACTTTTTTCTTTGTTTCAAGCAGCAGCCTGGTGTGTGTGGCGTGACTGGGATGTTACAATTGCCATACGTCTCCTCATTCTACATGCTTTTGTATATTTAACCGAAAGGCAGGAGTTCGTGACAATCGTAAGGGTTGCCAGCAGGCACCGCTTGGGAATGAACAGGTGTTCCAGGAATGGGAAGGCAAGTTTTAGGAAGATAAGGACTTTTATTGCATTGTCATTCTCAATGTGCTATGGTCCACTGGATCCTAGGAAGCATCAGGATGGTTTTGCCATTCCTGCTCCCAAAGGCTGCTTCTTTCTGTGCTTGACTGGAAGGAAATTGTCCCTTGGAAGGTGACATGAGCTGAGTTATTTTAAAGACAATAAGCCTGGGAAATCAGCAGTCTCCCATGAGAGGAGAGGGTGTAATGCTGAGCTTCATGGTGGCAAGCTGAAGTGTGGAAAAACACTGCAGTAACTTGCAAGCTCTTAAAAATACCCCCTTTGGGCAACTGCCTGCTCCTGCCCAGTTGCTTATAATCATATTTTTCCTCCTTTCTCCTTAGTCTGTTTTCAGAAATGTATCAGATATCTATAGAGTAAGCACCTGAGAAATCAAATCCTGGGGGCTAGGTTTCCCTTGAGTGCACAGGCTGAGTGCAGAAGGGGTTGGTCAGGTGAGAACAGACAGATTTGTCTTTATTGCTCAATTTAAAAACACTGGCCCAGCAATGCCATCCAGAGCAGATCTTCACGTGAAGATAACTTCAATTTGAAACATGTATGGGGACACCAGTCTTTCACTTGTGGATGTTAAATTATCTTATTGGGTTCCCGAGGTGGAGAGACATGCACTAACTGAATCTGGAGAAATCTGTCTCTGCTGGTTTTTGCATGCCTTACCCACTGGGTTTGGTATGTATCCCCAGCAGCTTGTTCCTGCTGTTGAAAATGAGTGCATTTCATGGTCAAGTGTTTCAGAGAAAGCGGTGCTGCTAATACTAATACACTTAAATAAACTTTAAAATTAAGGATTTTTGACATCCCTTTTTTGTTGACTTTTGTCCTTTTCCTCATCCATTCTCAATGTCATCACAGAACCGCCACACATCCCGTTCCCAGTCTGCAGTCGTCTCTTCTCTGTCATTCGTCTTTCACTTTCATGTGTTGCTGTGACACCCGTGGCTGGACTGTGATTCTGTCAGCACTATGTGGCACAACATGGTTTGTTCACAGTGTTTGCTGCTGTAGAGTGACAATGCTACTGATGAAGACATGGTGTTTGTAGAGCGTACAGACACAAATGGACAAGTCCTGCTCCAGGATCTTAACTTCTCAAACACAGAAGTGTAGAGTGCTTCCTCCTGTTTTCTTTCTGTTTCTGGCAAAATGATTTTATGCAGCATGAAGATACTGTGTTACCAAGCATCAACATTAATAAGGTGTTAAGAGCCAAGATAAATTACTATAAGCAGGTTGTTTAATTTTTAGTTTTACAGTAGTGACTGATGCACAGACTCTGACTTCAGTGTTTCACACAGCAGAGCAGAACTGTCAGTTCAAGACTGAGCACGTGATTCTGCATTTCTGATGAACTGAACCATTCCCCCTGTAATTCAGGTGGAAGTGCCAGAGACAGGGTTCCATACTTATCATGATTACCTCAACAGAGGCTAGGATTTGAGCCTTGAGTGAAAAAATCGGTCATATAGCTAATGGGGTAAAAAAAATAAATAATTCTGATGGTTTTGCTGTCTTTCTTACTCTCCTTCCGTGATTCAAAGGAAATTCATACTTTAAAATAAATAAATAAATAAAATGCAGTCTGTAGCAAAAAGAGTAGCTTATGAAGAATCCTTGAAAACAATTGGCTTCATGGATGGGTCTATGGTGAAAAAAGGCCTCCTTCCCACCCTTTTTTTGGTAAATCATGAAGAAATACAGCTGGGTAGCAGCAAAATTTTTGCCCAGTGCTGTCTCTAACCAGGACATGATCCTACCTGATTCTGATAAAATGTCTGAATTTCCTGATGGAAGGAAATAGCTGTACAGCTGGAATCCAGATCCCAAAGCTGTACAAGAGCAAGAAAACTTGTCTGCCATGGTTGCTGATGCCTGGAATAGGGCACCTGCAGTGGAAATACATAGCTGAAGCAAATATTTCACCCCACAGTGAATCCCTTCCCCTAGCCAGCTCCACCTGGCTCCTTGTAGTAAGAAGCAAGGAACACCAGGTCAGCCAACACCCAAGCTCCCGTGCATGAGCAAGTCCCAGGCCATACAGGCTCTGGCTCTGAAGAGGTGCAGCTGGCTGGTAAAGCAGACACAGCTCGATAACTTTCAGTCAGACACCTGACCTGCTGTTCCTGGCTTACAGTGGCTATAGAGCTGGAGTCTGGGAGAATCTCAGCTGCCTGCTTCTCTTGTGCTTGGTGGGACTTTGCTTTTTCAGCAACTCCACCGGTGAGTGCTCTGAGAGCCTCCTGAAGCCAAAGGCCAGGGCACAAATGAGAGGGATGGAAATTTACTTCTTCAAACTGCAGCTTTGCAACAGAGACATGAAGCAAGCACTAATGATGATGTTTTGCATCTTCATGTCAGGATGGTTATTCACAGCCTCTGGTTTAGCAATTCTTCATTCACAAGTTAAGAGCTAGACAGAGAGAAACATTTCTCCCAGCACTTTTTTCTTCCAAAAATAATTTTCCTTTTTAAAAAGGCAAGCTGATATTAATCTAAATATTCAGTTATCTACAATGTTTTGTTACTTCCACCTTTTTTCTTTTTGTTGGAGTCTAGTCCTGGGAGTCAATGCTGGTACCTAAAATCAGACACATTTCTCTTCTGGTCATGTATTTCACTGGTTTGGTAGCACTGGGAATATCTTATAGTACATTGAAAGTATTTAGTGTAGCCTGGTGAAACACACCGAGCATAGCAACCATGGCATGAGGGTTATTGCCTGATCTATATTAAAAATATTTCAATTAATATTAAAGAAGACAAACCCCAATGGCTTTACAATTAACTCACAGTATGGGATCACAAGCACATTGGTCATAGATGCTGAAATACAAGTCTCATGGCAGCTGTGGACTGAATCTTTCTCTCAGTCATTCAGATGGAGAACCAAATAGCCTTTGCTGATCTCAGTGGAGATAGGTGGATGTTGCTGAGAAGAGCATCTGCCCTGGCATAGCTACAGAGGAAGAGGGGTCCTTGATATACAGTTGCTGCCTAGGTGTAGTTCAGTAGCACTGCAGGAGACACCCTATCATTTTCTTGGAGCTTTGACTTCTTTGAATGAACTACCTGACTTCCAGCATGGTCTGGGTTTTGATGCAAGTGACTGATTTTTCTGGTTTGAATGGCAGTCCATGACAAATGGTAATACCTGGGAGAGGCAGCAGCCTTGACTTTTGTGTGTGCATCTGAGTTACCTGGTGCAATGGAATTAATCACTTCCTAGGTCTCATTAAAAAGCCATAACTGTAATTGGTTACTGTATTTTAATTACCCCACTCCCTTTCCTTTGTCTAATGCACTATCACTTTTCCATCTTCATTCTGCTTTTTGAGTGTTTTAGGATGTCCCTTCCAGCACCTACATGCTTTGGGGCCTGTTGCTTGGTGGTTTCTAATGCATTGCTGAGCTCCAGGGCATGCAGCCGCTGCAAGGAAAAGGCATTCTGAGTCCATCAGAGCAGAGGGCCTGTGATGAGAACATCACAGGGCTATGTGTGTACGTGGTGAGTGGGGGATGCTTGGGGTCGTCCTTGTTAGACTATTAAGTTGCCAAGAAGGGGGGATCTGCTGGAAGGGAAAGTAGATTCACGGGGCTTTTTGAGATTAGTCACCAAGTTATTCTGCGGGAAAAGAAGAGAAAGCAAGAAGCGTGCTTGAGTGCAGAAGGGGTGAGCTACTGAGCAAGAGAGGGCGAAGGTACAGAGAGACAAAAGGACTGAAGATCTCTTGAGGGGTGAGTAAGATTGGGCCAGCCTGTCTCAGCTTCGGGCAGCTATCAGAGATGGGCAGTGGATTGCTAGGAGGTCTGACTGAGCCCTGCTCTCCATCTTGCCCTCACGCAGTGCTGGTTCCTGTGCAGCCAGATGCATCCGTGGTGCTGGAGCCTGTTTATAACTGGTTTCTTTCTCTCCATTTGCAGAAGCAGAAGAGCTCTATCAGAAGAGAGTTTTAACCATCACGGGAATCTGTGTTGCCTTGCTTGTTGTGGGCATCGTCTGTGTGGTAGCTTACTGTAAAACCAAGTGAGTATGCGTGGTTAACAGACACAAAGTGGTGAGAGGTTACTGAGCAGTCGAGTTGGTGCTTCACACTTTCGTGCTGTTCACCCAATGCTATTTTTAAAGCGGTGCTGTGCTGTGGCATTCCCAGTGAGGTCTTATGAAGAAGGCCAATAAAGCCATCTATCATTCTGTGCCCAGGAAGGACGTTTTCCTGGGACCTCTTCCTTGTCCCCTGATTCAGCATCACATTGTGAAGCCAGGTGATGGTGTGTGACTGGGAGAAGTTGTTCCCTGAGCCAACAGCTTATCACCTGACAGATGAAGAAAGCTGGGCTGTGGCCCAGGAGCTGTGGTCTCAGTTGTTTACATATCAGGGACTTTTAAAGCAATAATGATTGAGCAAAAGACTTGGGAACCTCTTCTACGGTCAGCCTTCCCTGCCTGGACAGCACCTGTTTCCCCACCTGGACCTTGAGTGGGTTTGGGTTGCCTTTCTATTTCCCCAGGAGACAGGGAGACTTGTGAAGTGAATGTCCTCCCAGAGACATGGGGAGGCTGTCCCACATCGTGCTTAAAGCAGGACAGTTCAAGTGCCTCGCCACCAAGGCCAAGCCAGGACCGGCTTCCCCTTTCCCTTCTCCCCACTTTTCTCTTCTGCTCCCAGTCCCATGCTTCCTCTGCCTCCACTGCATTGTGCCGGGCCTTGTTTTGCAACAAGGAGACTGTGGACCCCGCTCCCTGAAGCAGCCATAGTAGCAAACATTCACATTTCTTTGAAAAAGCAGCTAAGGTGACTAATTTTGAATATTTGCAGCTTTCCATAAATACCACTGAAATATCAAGTGTGTCAAGAGGTGAATCAATACCTGGTTGTTGCCTCCTTTATCATCTGCTTCCTCCAGAAAAACCTGGAGGCAGAGGACCCCATGAGATAAACCTAATAGATTTTTTCCTTTCCTTTTTAAAGGAAACAAAGAAAACAGATGCATAATCATTTACGACAGAATATGTGCCCTGCCCATCAGAACAGGAGCCTTGCAAATGGGCCAAGCCATCCACGTTTGGATCCTGAGGAAATCCAAATGGCTGATGTAAGACCTTCGTCTCATTCTCCCTGTGTGTTACTGAGTGGACACGTGTTCTGTCAGGGGTTTGATGTGGATTTGTACACTTATACTCCTGTGTGCCTTTGCAAGAAGAGAAAATACTAAGAAAATTGAATGAGAAGATGAGGTTCTGCACAGAAACATTTCCCAAAACAAAATCTAGAGGGAAATGAGAATTTACTTTGAAGCATCAAAGATGAGATTAGGGCACTCAGGACAGGCTTGTTGTGATGAATCAAGTGTGATCCTGTTTTCTTCTCTGTGAGATATTCCCAATGTTTCCCGTTTATTAAGCTGTTCAAGTGAGCCTCATTTTGCAGCATGACAAATGGGAACAGCACAGTGGGGGTTGGAGCAACGACAGTGTCTGTGTTGCACATCATGGGTCAGCACCACGTATGTCTACCTGCCCATACTAGTTGTTTCCTGTGCAAGGTGAAACAACCTGGTGGGATCCCAGTGTGTCACTTTAGTGACAACCATCTGAGAATTTAGGGCCAGATCCGGAAAAGCAGCTCAGCCACTCTTCTAACATCAGTCATAGGAGAATCCCATTGAGCTGTGTGTTCTGACTGTCAACATGCTTAAGTGCCTTGCTGAACTAAGCCATTGGAAAGGATCAGAAAAAGGGAGAGGGGAGGCAGATCCAAAACAAAAGTACTCCCCTGAGCCAGAGAATTTTTAGTTTCTCACATTCTGAAAATTTTGCTTTGGAAATTTCCTTTTGCCTTCCCTTAACCTTCTCTGTGTGCAAAGGTTCATGTGCACTGATCCCTGATGGAAATCACAGCATCATAGAGTGGTTTGAATTGGAAGGGACGTTAAAGACCAGCTAGTTTGAACCCCTTTGCCACGGGAAGGGACACCTTCCACTAGATCAGGTTGCTCAAAACCCCATCCAGCCTAATCTTGAATACCTCCAGGGATGGGGCATCCACAACCTCTCTGGGCAACCTGTTCCAGTGCCTCACACCCTCAGAGTGAAGAATTTCTTCCTTATATCTAATCTGAATCTACGTGCTTTCAGTTTAAAACTATTACGCCTTGTCCTATCACTACATGCCCTTGTACAATGAGTATTCTGAGTCAGTTACAAGCTCTGCTGGGTTACCTTTGGGATGCTAAAATTTAACTAGGTGTAAAGCCAGCACTGAAAGAGGAAGTTAAGAAAATTTTAAAGAATCAGCCATCTGAGCCTGAAATGCTGACTCCCCCAGAGAGCTTTCTCCCCGTGAAGAGCACGGCTGACCCTGCTTACTTTTAGATGAAGGAATGTTTCAGTATAAATATTAGGATTACACCTAGTGTTTCAATAGGGTTATGCTTCTGACAGATCTCATATGGTTGCCTTGTTTTTGGTACTCTGTCTGATGCATAACCTCCTGCAAGAAGAGATGCATTTCTGCTCAGTAGCATCAGATATAAAGTGCTGCCACAGCTGTCTGGGGAACCCCTTGGATCTTCATACTCCTCTGTAATCCCTGTGCCAGGGCTCTTTTCCAGCATTCAAAGTGCAGAGGCAGAGAGGGGCCACTGCATGGCATTTTCCAGCTTCCTTTTTTCCTTCTGTGGGCTAGGGAGCTGCGGTACTCGCTCAATCCTCAAGTGGTTTCACCAGAAATAATGCAGCCAGCAGAATTTGGCTGCGGCAATGCTGACAAGCTATTGGCTGATCTGTGTGATTCTTTGTATTTTACAGTATATTTCTAAGAATGTTTCTGCCACCGAACATGTGATCCGTAGGGAAACAGAGACGACCTTTTCGGGAAGTCACTCCTGCTCCCCATCACATCACTGCTCCACAGCCACTCCAACGTCCAGCCAGAGGTGATGTATACCATTTCCCCCTGAACTCTTACTGCTTGCCTTAGGATTCTGTGAGATACAAAGCCAGTAAAAGATTCTCATTTCATCTCTCTTTCTGTTTTAAGCTGATGTTTGGCATTACAGTGCCATACAAGCCATTGCCAACACTTGCAGATCTTTGCTAGCACAGCTGGTTAGTGAGAGGTGTGGAAAGGTGTGATGCTGCAGGTCAACTGCAGCAAGGACCCAACAGGAACCTGCTGCACTGACAGAGGTGGAAATCAGGATATGAAGTTGTACTTTCATGCCTTGAACAGACTCAAACTGGAGCATGCACCTAGGGAAGCTTTTCCAAGTTGTTCTTGCAACCATACAGCACACCTGCATTAATTCATTAAGCATCCAATGGTTATTTCATGCTTGATATATTTTCCTTCTGTAAGGTAAGCTATGACAAACATCACAAAATATTTTGCCTAGTCTGCAAAGTTAGGGTCTAATTTTGGGAATCAAGTTTTTCATCAGAAAAACATAGGTTTTCACATTGCAAAATAGCCATCAAGGGGGAAGACCAGCGTGACTGAGAGGTTGAATTTCTTGCTGGTCTTAAGAGCATTAATATTGCAGATGTAGCTTTTCCATTGTTTTGGTGTCCAGAAAAGTCATTCAAATGCTCTAGAGAAAGTCCTGCACTGTTCTGAGTTTGGGCATTCAGGTCTTCCATCTTATATGTTGAAAGCTCATTGTGTTCTTCCAGTAAGTGACAGTGCTTCGCTGTGAGGATGCATGCCTTTGAAAAGTAACTAGGGTGCGGGGGATCCATATTTACCTTCTGTCAATGACATGTAGATCACATGCTTTGACTTCATAAGCAAAAGTTATCCTGGCTTATTTACTTCATTAGACTGGTGTGTTTGTATCCATTTGTCCAGGAAGCAGTGAATCCTTTCAGGTGAAGACTGAAGATGCATTCTGGCAGATTTATTCAGGGTTCAGGCATTCATTAGGAAGGAGCACTCAGTGTACAATTCAGCAAATCAGCTTCAGGTATCATGCATAGGTTTTCAGGAAAATTCCTCCCCAGACTCCATTGGTTCAGCTTCCAGTAAGTAAAGAGGGAGACAAGAAAGATTTGCTGGGCTGGAAATGACTACTTTAACCAAGGAAATCCCCCCCTCAGTGAGCAGATGGGGTGTTTTCCAGATTTTTTGAATTTTTATACTGTAACTGAATCCTGGCTAGCTTTGAGCAGGCTTGAGCAAGGTGCACAGAGACTCCTGTGACCACAGAGCTGCACCTTGCTGGCCTTCAAGGCTCACTTCAAAGTCCTTGGATCCCAGGGCCATCTCTGAGTACCTCCTGAAGATGCAAAGTTGTGTCTGGAGGGCGGCATTAATATATGACAGGTGTGGGGAGATACCTACTTGCATAGCCTCTGGTCCTGGCTACCGGCCATATAATTTTCCTGAGTCAAGTGCAGTGAGCAGGTGTCTCTTGAAGTCATGCCAGAGGCAAACTGCTAGCATAATATGGTTCCATTTTACTTTATCAGCACCTCTAATGAGGATGCTGTTTGAAGTTATAAATCAATGCTTTGGTTGCAACTGAACATGTGCCTGGAGCTATTAATAATTAACAACTTCTTTGGAAGTCTTAATGAGGCCTCTGTAAACCCCCACCCAAAATACTCTGCCACCACAGCTCCATCTGGTGCAGTTTGGGAACTCAGAGCTCTTGCTCCAATCCACATGGATTTGTGCCATGGAGAGCAGTCAGCCCAGCATGGGTGGACCCTCGGCGTGTGCAGGACCCCATGCTTCACTGGTGCGTGCTTGTGGGATGTCATCTCGGGGCAGGGGAAGTTCCAGGCTGACCAAGGACTATCCATCATAGCTGGTAGCTTCAGACTAGCTCCTTGAATGTATTTTGCTGCCAAAACCTTTTTTTTTTTTTTTTAATTAGTAAGAGTGCTTTTCTCTGTTGGTCATGAAGTAATTTTGAGTCTTTTTCTGACTGTTCTGGTAGCATTTGTGAAGGGGCTGTTTCTTGGCAATGTGTGAAGATCCTTTGCAGACTTGCCTTGGCACAGCCAGTGCATTGCTCTGCACCAAAACACTTTGTGATTACAAAGCAGAATTGCCCAGGCCTCCCTGCAGAGGCTGTCCCATCCTATTCCCACTGTCAGGAGTTGGTGAGTTAAATACCCAGTGTGCACAGCATTGCCCTTCTTTATTCTCTAAAATCAGACCTCCAAGAAACAGTGAAACAAATCAAAATTGGGCCTTCCTGGCTAGATGTATTTCCATGAGAGACAGAAAGGGGATGTCAGTGCAGAGCACAGTGTGATCTGTGGCTGCATGTGGCATTTTGGAGAAGATGTTGGCAGGGGTTCCTTGCTCACTGTCCGTATGGACTTTGATCCACAGACATGAAAGCCACACCTGGAGCCTGGAGCGGACGGAGAGCCTGACTTCAGATTCCCAGTCTGGGATAATGCTGTCTTCGGTGGGAACCAGTAAATGCAACAGCCCTGCATGTGTGGAGGCGCGGGCCCGCCGTGGGGCTGCCTTCTGCATTGAGGACTCGCGGCGGCCCATGATGCAGTACCGCGACTCGGTGGATTCGCTGCGGGACTCGCCGCACAGCGAGAGGTCAGACTCCCCTGCTACGTGCTGCCTGGGCATGGCAGAGGCCAGCCATGCCCCTCTTTGCTGGATGAAAGTCCATTCACTTCCACCCTGGCCTAGAGTAGAAGTCCCGTGGTAGTCCAGGAGAAGCTCCAGTTCTGGTCCTGACTGGAGGAAACCATGTCCCCAAGAGGTCACTCTGGTAGCAGCAACAAACATTGCACCTTGTCAGTTGTTCCTTGCTCACCTGGGGGCAACACAGGTTTGGAGTGCAAGTTTGAGAGCAGCTGAAAATATCTGGCTGCAATCAGCAACTGATGAAGTCCTCCCTGCAGAGAAGGAGGGCAGATTTGTGGGGCAGCAGCTCAAGCAGGGGCTGGCTCCCAGGTACTTGGATAAGCCCTCAGTGTACCTGTGGGTGGCATGAAGAGCAGACGTGCTGCATGTGGGCACAGCCTTGGGATGGGGCTCTGTAAGACCCAGCTCTCTGGGGAAGATGACTGCAGAGATGGGAAATCATCAGCTAGTGACAGAGAGTTGTCCTCTTCCTGTGTCTGGTTCCTCATGGTGCTGAAACACCATCTCCACACTTGCTGCAGCCCTCCATGAGTCACCATGGGTGACACAGGTGGCCACCCAACCTCTTTCGGGCATTTACCCCTCAGGGCAATGGGACTTGTCCAAAGAAGGCAAGTTGCTCACTTGTTTCTGATCCCAGTCCATTCAGACAGGCTGCTGGGAGGTGCTGCAAGATTTGCAGTGAGAATTGCCCTGTCCCAGATAAAGTTCAGTCCCAGCAGTCCTGACTGGTCCTGACCCTTACCCTGCAGCAAGGGAAGCACATCCAGCTCAGCTGGCATGAAGGCTCCCTGGCAGCCACATCTCAGCTGCCAAGTGCTGGGCTCTGTGGTGAGCTCCTCACATGGTGGAGGAGCAAGGATGCACACTGAGCAACTCCCTCAGGAAAGCTGGTCTTGGGGACCACCATGCTTTGGTGCCCAAACACCCACCAAAGCCAGCAGCTCATCCTGCCTCACACACTGCAGTAAAAGGTCCTTCCACCCCCTTCCCCAGGAGATGCAGTGCTCCAGAACCAGGCACATCAGGGGTCCCCCATATCGGTGCCGGGTGTTCAGCAGAGTGCAGCTGCAGCTGGCAGGGTTTGGGATGCTCCCTGTCCAAACAGAGGTGTTGTTTCTTCCAGGTACGTGTCAGCCCTGACCACACCAGCACGCCTGTCGCCCGTGGATTTCCACTACTCGATGGCCACGCAGGTGCCCACCTTTGAGATCACCTCCCCCAACTCCGCACACGCTGTCTCCCTGCCCCCAGCAGCTCCCATCAGCTTCCGCGTGGAGGAACAGCAGCCCCTCCTGCGGCGGTACCAGCTTCCCTTCCAGGACACGCAGAGGTACGACAGCTACTACCAAAGGAAGACCTACCTAAATGACAGCATGGGGAGCCTGCCCTCCAGCCCCTTCCGCATCACGGAGGATGACGAGTATGAGACGACACAGGAGTATGTCACAGCACTAGAACAGCCAAAGAAAACAGCCAGCAGCAACAAGCGTTGGAAAAAGTCCAAACTGAACGGGCACGTACCCCACAGAGCCAGAGCGGTCCGGGACTCCTTCTCCTTGAGCAGCGCCTCTTACAGCGAGTCTGACGAGGAGCTGGTGGCTGAGAGCACCCCCTTCCTAAGCACTCAGAACAATGAGACGATGAACACAGAGTCGCCTCCGCTCCACCGGCCAGGTGACAGCCGGACTTACCATTCCTACAGCAGGCACAGCGCTCACGGGGAGAGCGGGCGCAGCAGCCTGGCACACACAACGCCCAAACAAGACCCCGATCCTCTCTAGGCGCCTCGCAGACATACCCGCATGGAGGAGGCGGAGGAGGGAGGCAAAACAAAAAATGAGACAAAAATAAATATTTTTATTTTATATAAAAGAGGAAAAAATATAACAAATAAAATGTTTTATTTTCATTTTAGCAAAGTTGTCTTATAATAGCTAACAGCAATGACTTTTTTATAGGGAATCTCTATTTATATGTAATGTCTTGATTTTCAGCTTCCAAGAAAAAAAATTAAAAAATAAAAAAAAAAAGAAGAAATGGAAACAAACAATAAAGTAAAAAAAAAAAAAAAAAAAAAGGTGGGCCAATTTTTGACTACTTAAAAATAGAAAATAAAACTATCGTGGTGCCTTTTGCTGTATGCTAGTGCTGGGATTCATGCCGAGGATTCTGTTTCAGTAGCATTTTTAAGATCACAGATTTTTATTTGGGAGACAACCTGTCACAAGGGCACTCTTCCATCAGAAGAAAACAGCCTCACCACTTTGCCCTATACCCTGCTATTAATGATCTTGTTCTATCATTTTAACACACATCAAGGACATGATTGGGAGCATTTCCATTATCATGTCTAACGGGGGTCTGTCTTGCCCCATAAAATACTTGTATTTTTGCTTAAATCAGGAGAAAAAGAAACTGAGCAGCACCATACCGAAATGCAGAAATAATGTTTCTTTTGCCACACAGGTAGGAAGAGAAAATGAAAAGCAGCAGCAGCCCTTACAATATAGCTCTCAACTTTTGGCCGTTTCACATGTGAGTGTGAAATTGGGTTGGCACAGGTTTGTAGTCCGATACGTAAGACATTTATAGGAATGTGGTGAAATAAAACCCTGTTACCTATGGTTGAATACAGTCACTGAAGCCAGCCCTGACAGGCTGGTGGCACTGCACAGTGGTCCTGGCAGGGCAGAGCCGCACCGGACCTGGTGCCATGCTGGCTGTGGCATCCCCTTGACCAAGCACGCAGTGGCCATGGTGTGGCATTTGCTATGGTGCTGTGTGGGCTGCAGTGTCCTGCGCACCATGCTTGCCACCGAGGATGCCCAGAGGGCACAGCATGGCCACTGCTGCCCCAGGTGCTGTGCCAGACAGCCGCTGGCTGTGCTGCCCTGGTGTCCGAGTGCTCCGGCCCCGCGCATAGCCCCTTGCGTTGGCTGGGAAGCACCGCGGGCACCACACGGGGCAGCCCAACGAGCGGATTCCTCTGTCCCGCCGTGCCCTTTGTTGTAAAGACAGTTGTTACTGTAATGTCTTGCCACCGATGACAGACATCGTGTTTCCAAACCCGGAGCAGCTCTGGCCATTGGCTCTGTGGCGCAAAGAGACAGTCCTGCGTTTCCAGGCAGCAGAGCATCCTGGTGGAAGTGCCCCTCTCGCCTCAGTTCTCTGCAGCAAACCTGTTTACATTGTAGCCTGACTTTTTTCTTTTTATATTTTTACTTCTGCATGTCCTTTGCATTTCAGATACTGTAGATTGGATGCATGGTGAAGCTGTGACTGAGAAGATAATACAACAATTGACAGTGTATTTCATTTAACTTTTAGCAATAAAGTAACTAAACCCTCTATTCCTCACCCGTGATGGGGTCAGATAGAAAACTCTGCTAATTTGTCATAAGATGATTGTCAAAGTTTGCTCTGGATTGTCTGAATGTCAGAACTCTCGACTGTTTAACACTTGAACATTTTTTATATTATAAATAAAATAAGAAATAACAAACTGTGGGCAGCATTGATCTAAGGCAATTTGGGGGGCAATGGGTAGGCTGTGACAAGTACAATACACAGAATCACAGAATGGTTTAGGTTGGCAGGGACCTCTGGATGTCAGCTGGTCCAACTGTCTGCTCAAGCAGGGACACCCAGAGCTGAGTGCCCAGGACCAGATACAGATGGCTTTTGAAGATCTCCAAGGAGGGAGATGCCACAACCTCTCTGGGCAACCCGAGCCAGTGCTTGGTCATCCTCACAGTAAAAAAAAAAAGAAAAAAAAAAAAGCATCTTCTTGTGTTCAAACTCCATTTCTTAATTCTTTTTTTTTTTTAATTTGTGCCCACTCACTTCCTCCCATCCCATCACCAAACCCTACTGAGAAAAGTCTTGTCTGCCAGTCCATCCCATCCCATCATATATTAATATACATGAATAAGGCCCCCTTGAGCCCTTACTTCTTCAGGCTGAACAGTCCCAGCTCTCTCAGCATCTCCACCTAAGACTGATACTGCAGTCCCTTAAGTGTCTATGTCCCTGAAGTCCCAGAGGTGGGTGTTTTTCTACCTGACTGGACATTTCACCTTCACCACTGGGCTCAGGAGTGGAGGCTTACTGAGGTGAATGGGTGCTACCCCACACATCTGGGAGGATTCCACTCGTTCTCCACCTCCAGGCTGGGAGGTTCACCCCATCACCCCACTGGTGGAAGCTTTTTGTTCTGACAAGAAAGGCCAAGATGCATGCCGTGTACTTTGCATGCTGGCACCGATTCCCGTGACTTCTGCAGTGGACTGGAGATGCATTGGGTCCAATTCTACAAGTGCTATGCTGCCCACCTGCAAAAAATGTCCCTTCTTCAGCTCTTGCATGGCAAATCTCTGACTCTGGCTCGTTCACATGTAGGGGTATCTCTAACATTATGGTTTATTCACAGGAAGCAGTTTCTGAGATTATATCATGGTGTTGCATGGCTCAGCCCAGCTGCCTAGTTCCTGCTCAGTGATATGACAGATGCCAAAAAGTCCCAGCTGATGCCATCTAGTAGGAAAGGGACCTCTTAAACTCTGGTCCCTACATGTGAAGACTTTTCAGAGTTGACCTCATAGAAACACGCAGAGCTATGAGAGAAATCCCCCAGTCCCTCATTCTGGGATAAAGGCCAGGCTAAACTGCTGCACAGCCTCAGTCTGGGCTTCTTCTGCTCCAGCATCAGGATGTTCATTGTCTTGGAGCTGACCTTTCTGGGTCACAGACCTCCCCTGACATCCATCACACGTACTGTGGGGATTCCAGCCAGACCAGAGGGCTCAGCACTGCACCCTGAATAAAAGCATCTCAACACTGATTTCCCAAAGATTGAAAACGAAAGGATCCTGCCCTCCTGCTATGGGTTCAATGTACTGTCTACCCAACAGCAGTGTGCAAAGGAGGTACTAGATGTCTAGGACTGGAGATAAAGGTGGTAGGGTCAAGTCCTGGTTTGGAGGACCTTTGTCATGTAGTCTCCGGACACATCTTGTCCCACTTTTGTGCAGCCCCATGCCTTGCAGGGTGAGGATCCCTGGGGAAACCAAGCTTAAAGATGGCAGAGATGAGGGGTCTTTGGGTTCTCAGAGCCACCCTGCTTCCCTGACCGGCTCTCCCCTGTGTCTGTGAGCTGGTGAGCTCTGCTCCTGGAGAAGTCCACCTGATGCTGTAACAAAGTTGTCCCCTCAGCAACATCTGCATTACAGGAAGGCTGCAGCTCTGGGGCCTCCTACAGCTGCACTTTGGGCTGCTGTGCAGCACAGTGGTGTGGCTGAACCATGGGGGGTGCTCAGGGCAGCTGCTCCACACCAGGGCATCACCGTCACCATCTGCTCAGTCCCATGCAAGATGTTTTACTGCTCCGTGGTTTTCAGGGACTTGTGACACTCTACAGATAGAGACATCACTAACTCTGAGCCATAGCTGCCTCGTGATTTCTTGTGGTGATTTCTTGTTTCATGTGCCCCTGGTTTCCCATAATTTTGTTCTGTATTTGGTGGCAGTTACACTACTTTTCTCTCAAATTGCCTCTGAAGGAAGCTTGTATCTATCTCATTTTTTCCCTGTCTGGTTCTGGCCAGAGTCCTGGCTTTCTCTTTGCAGGAGCTGATAGAGATCTGTGTGAACATGGTCATGCTGGGCTGTGAAGCCTGCGACCAATCCAGCACACAGTGGAACCACATTTCAGACCAATTCTCTTTACCAACAGATTCAGCTTTATTGTTATTCTTTTTTACATGATTCTTAGTGCATCATTTCAAATAAGCTATCAAACTGTACAAAGAAACAGAGATAAAAGAAGAGGTGACAAAATAGGATGGAGGTTTTTAGTAGTATGAACCATCGTGGAAAACAGTAGTCAATAGTCTCTCAGACTTTGAAGGTCCAAATAAATCTTCTTTGTTTAAAAAATGCTGCAAAATATAAACAATAAATGACTGTAGTTAGCAGCTACAAGATCCTTCAAAACTGGAACTTGATTACGATGAATGCACCTAAAGGAAAGAAAGGCAATTTGGGATAAGGAACCAAACCAAATAGCAAAATAAATAAATAAAGTGCGGGAGGACAGTTGTGGCATTGAAATGCAGTGGAATCGCTTCTAGTACAACAGTAAATCATTGGACCACAGACAGCAGAAAGGAACGGAAACACAATTCCCTCTTTAAAAGAGTACAGCATACGAATCGCAAAATGGAGGAACTACAACACTGATGGGCAGTTAAAATTGCTCCTGCACACAAAGGTTCAGCTGGATCTGAAGCATATTTCCAACTGTGCTTGAACCCAAAGTGGCAGATGCCATGGATGCTAAATAAACAGCCATTTGGCTAGTTTGTCTCAACAAACAGGAACAGGAGTGTGATGTTTCACAGCAAAGCCAGGTGGGCTTTCCATTCAAGTACAAAAAAGAAAAAAAAAAAAAAAAAAAAAAAAAAGAAAGAAACATAGGCTACTGCATTTTTGAAAATGTCCTGTTCAGACCCTCCATGGTCCCTAGTGTCTTCTCCAGGCAGCTTACCTTCTCTTGCACACTGAGGTTAAAATCCCATATTAAGTTTTCCTTATATATATATATTTATTTATATATATTCATATGTATATATATTTATATATATATAAAAAGGATAGGGTGACAGAGGGCACTTCAGGCCTCTACTGCCATGGGCAGATGACAGTCCCACACACTGTGCTGAAGACGCCTCTCACTCAGTTGGTGGCTAGCTCACGAAACCTGTCCTATCGTGACGTGCCAGACAGCACTCCTCTTGTGCGAGGGATGTGCTCCCTGCTGCTCTGTGCCTTTCTCTGAGAGTGCTGGTGGTGACGCAGACACCATTGTCCCGGCTGAGTTTCTTGCCCTGCTGGGAACTGTGGATGTGAACCAGTGGAAACTCCAAGGAGAGAAGGAGGAAGGAGGAGGAGAAGATAGGGCTGGTGGAAGAGAGCAACCTGGCACCTGGAGAATGAGCATATCCCTTTATTGTGCAGGCTGCAGTAGAAGGGAAAGAAAAGCCACTGGTGCTGTTGGGGAAAAGAAGAGATGGAGTGTCCATGATGCTGAAATGCCAGAGCATTGCCAAGGAGTGTCAACTAAAGCTTCTTTGACTTCTTTCACTAGAGCAGTCACCGTGTCATACACGTCTACGGTTTTGTTTGTATAATTTCCTAGGTAAAATTGTGCTCATTGATCTAGTCCAGGAGCGCAAAGCATCACCAGTTCATTTCACCCATGCACACGTTCCTTGTTAAGTGTTCTGCTCTATTATGTCCTTTTCCACCTTACAGGTGACAGACACATGCCCTTGGCTCAAGGAAGGGCTTGAATGTGTCTTCCGCAAAGCAATGTCATCAGCTTCCACCTTAAAGAAACTGGTTTCAATTCTCTCCAGGTCATCTGTCCCAACTTTTATTTTCATGCACAGCAGATTGATGTATGTCTCGTAGCGGCTCTTCTGCAGGGAAAGACAAAACAGAGAAAAAAGCTTGGGAACAGGGACAGGACACTGCATGTGTGGAAAGCAGAGGCGATGCCATCTGCTACTGCAGGAAAACACATACTATATTATCAGGATCCCACTGTTCACACTCTGCAAGAGCTATTTAATGACAGCACAATGTCTGGTCTAACCAAAGCCTTCAAAGACTTATTAACTTGCAGTTCAAAGGGTTGAGGAAAAAGCGGATGGTTGTGCAAGACTCTTGCTTTTACAGGTCTTGACTGCCACTCTGATTGTTTAAGGTGGGTACTGGAGGCAACAAAAGACCAACACAGAACAGATTCATAGAGTCATAGAAACACAAGTTTGGAAAGGACCTACAAGATCATCTAGTCCAACCGTCCTCCTATCACCAATGCTGCCCACTAAGCTGCTAAATCATATCTCGTAGCACCTTGTCCAGGCGCTTCTTGAACACCGCCAGGGACTGCCTCGACCACTTGACCACTCGACCCCCTCCCTGGGCAGGCACCATTCCAGCACCTGACCACTCCGAGAGAAAAAGCTTTTCCTGAATTCTAATCTAAATCTCCCCAGGTGCAACTTGTGGCCACTTTGAGAGAGAGGCTGACCCTCTCCTCACCACAACCTCCCTTCAGAAAGTTGTAGAGTGCAGTGAGATCTGCCCTGAGCCTCCTCTCCTCCAGACTAAACAACCCCAGCTCCTTCAGCTGCTCCCCGTAAGACTTGTGTTCCAGACCCCTCACCAGTTTTGTTGCCCTCTCTGGACATGCTCCAGATGCCTTGATGGGCCTCGATGTCCTTCCTATAGTGAGGGGCCCAAAACTGAACACAGCACTTGAGGTGCAGCCTCACCAGAGAAGAGCACAGGCCAACCAGCTCCCTGCTCCTGCTGGCTACACTATTTCTAACACAGGCCAGGGTGCTGCTGGCCTTCTA